ACAAATTATAAATAAATCTTACTTCTTCTGACGATTTTACAAAGTTGTGAATAACTGTAGAATGAAATGGTTTGTATTTAATACCCTTATATAGGTAATATGTACGAACCGAATCAGCAAAATTTGTACCACTAAAAGATTTCCAAACAAATTTAATCGATTTTCCCTTACAAAAAGCATAGGTCGTGAGTTACACATAATTTAAGTTGTTTTATCTATCCAATCAGAGGCAGGGCAGTCATGCCACATCCACAATACCAATGGACTCACAATATTCATGCAATTTTGACATAACCACCATTCCAGTTGTGCCTCGCGTACTTGACCGAAATAAATGTTGACAATACCGTGGCAATCAGCCTTGATCTACGAGAGTAATCTCTACAAGGTATTCACCTCAGCTTTAAATGCTTTCTATATTAGAATTGCTACTCACGATAATATCACCATGAAGATATCCGTAACAATATTCAAACCTTAACACATCGAATAATTACAGAAAATACTTTATTAAAGTTTTATGCACAGCATTCGGTGAAAGATTATATAATTAGCAATTAATTCGCATTTATATAAGATACTAAGGATACTGGTTACAGGATAGGCTTTTCAGGAAGTAAGCTGTTATAAACAAAGAATTTGATATAAATTGCTTTTTAAAGCGAAATCCTAGTTCCTACATTTGTAAATAAAGTTCTCCGTCAAAAAGGTCTGGTTAACTTATCTCGCGAATAGTGTCCTGTCCAAAAAAGAATTTTCCCCCCAAAATTGTTTGTGGCTTATTCAATTTTTACTGGACTGCACCTCTGAATGGATCAATATATTCGTAAAGTAGTTCTTCTTCCAAAACATGACACATATCGGATATGGATCTCCCAATGGCACGTATAGCGATGTTATAGAAAGAAGATATCCATGGTCATTTAAGAAGGGGGATAAATGTAATGTAAGAAACAATAATTTTGGTGAATACGTTCGCGAATTAACTATTATTTTTATCTTTATTTGTTCTGATTTTCTTTAAACTTACCTGCTAATTTAAAACTATTACAGATATATACATTAAACAAAAATGTTACTTAGGTATCCAGTCATGAAAGTATGTTTAAAAAGTAAAACAATCTATTCGAAGGAGAGAAAAAACTCAGAGAATAAAATAATTGGGGATTGTTTGCTATGGATTACTTCTGAGCTGTATGTGGCTCTCGTGGCATGTTTTCAGTTATCTGCCTATAAGTGCAAATACATACGTAGATTATCAGGTTATAGACATCGGATAGGCTTATTTCGTAACTAGTGCAATGTACTTACCTTCTTAAGGGTCTGTTTTCCGCATCCGTTACGGTATCACAATCGAAAAAGTGTTACATAAAGTATAGGGAAATAATATCTAAAGGAATCAATCTGAATCAATCGGAAGTTTTGAAATTATTTACAAATACAAATAAATGCATATCCAACATTATAATTTTCAAATCATATTCAATTTATAAATAAATTGTTATTACTAGTTGTCTTGATTCTTTAGATGGATTACATCCAGTATACACACACACACACACACACACATATATATATATATATATATATATATATATATATATATATATATATATATATATATATATATATATATATATATATATATATATATATATATATATATATATATATATATATATATATATATATATATTCTTACTTTCCTACTTACCTAATTCCATAAAATGTTATTTATGTTAATGTCATTTACAGGGAACTGTTTAGGTTCAGTTATCGAAAGTAATGAGATACAAGAAATCTTAAATATTCATATGTAAAGTTTTTGTACTCAAAACAAAACGTTTGTGTCATCCAGGGGAAAATATAAGGTTTCAAACCTGACACATATCGGATATGGATCTCCCAATGGCACGTATAGCGATGTTATACAAAGAAGATAGACATGGTCATTTAAGAAGCTAAATTTGCCAAAGTCGCTAGCTTGCTAGCATAAATCCATACATGGTCAAAACATGTTTCAATGATTAAATTGACTCTATGGGTGGTAGATAAATTGGATTCAAGTTATATGTTAGCAAAAACATCTTTCCAAGAATTTCTTTTTTGTTTTTGAACTGATCTACATTTGAGACTTCGTTAATATTGCAAAGCTAAACATTAACCATGCCTTGTTAAAACTCATAAATGTTTCTTTACTACTTACAAACAATATTGTCCAATGTCCTCTGAAAATACACATATTGTAGAAACTAAACATCTAAACATATAGTTTTTATGATAAGCCAATTGACAGCAAATAAAGTTTTTAATAACATTACGTATTTGTCATTCAATATATTTGGTTTTTCTCAATACATAAATGTATCTAGTGCAATTTGACACTTAGCATATAACCTATACTTTCTTCATTTGTACTGTTCGGTGTTCCATACACAAAATAACAATCACATCTTTGTATATAAAAACTGACACGTTTCAATAAGAGTTTTACTACCTGAGGCATAATTCTACTTAAGATTTGAATTTTTGGAAATTTACAAAATTAAGAATTGTTATTAGTTGTATCCATTCGGTGGTTACACCTGTACACTGCAAAATGAGTGTGCCCACCTATTGTACGCAACATGAAAAATAGACGATTCCATAGTTTTGATTTGACAAATTTATCGAAGCGTATATTGAAAGCGACTTGACTGCCCCAGAAATGTATGTCTCTCAAAAGCTGATACAATAACAGAGGATCTCGAGCCATCAATACATGTGCAAAGCAATGTGAAATGAGTCTATTGTTGTTGGAAAAATCGAATGATATGTCCACTAATTAATTACTAATACTACAACCGCTAATATTACGTCTAATAGCAACAAAAAATCTCATTTCAATCGTTTTTGTCGGAAAGTTTAAAGCCAGGAAGGCAATATATTTATTTAAGAATTCATTATGTAATAATGATTTTAAAATAAAATGTTATAAAAAATCTTTTCCATTATTCTTGCTAAAATATTTCTTTCTGAAAATGTTATTTTCCAAAGTAAAACAAATGTGCATAAGCAGCAGAGAGGGTGGACCCTACAAATTAGTTTGGAGCAAGTTTGTCCAAAAAAGATTCACACGATGTTATATTTTTTTAAAAAAAATAAATCACGCCAAACTGAAATATCTGACCGAATGGAGATCTTCTCCGTAGCATCGCTACGGGGTTAGTTCGCGCTGTTACGTTTCGTTGACATCCTTGTTTATAAAATTTTGTGCGTGTTTTTTTTTTTTTTATTTACTTGTGCGTGTCATTTTTGTTACATCACCCTCTCCTCTGCTGTGGTTTTATCCAAACATTCTATTAAGTCCGTTACGATATATCGACCTCAGATCAAGTAAATTTATTGTCATAAAACTAAACGGGGCAGCTTTCGTTTGTGCAAAGAAACCTTTCAATTTATCCATGTCCATATCCTCTGATCACTACGTATAATAAATATTTTGAAGCGTATGATTATCAAATCCGTTAAACACAACTAAATATTACATTTATCACATATCACTTTTGGAATTTGTGTATAATGCTGTTTAACATAAATCACGTCTGTATTTTTATGTCAACGTCGAGAAAACCTAGCTGGATTTCATTGTTTGTCCAGCATGACATCATTGTACACAACTCAATTATTATACTTTCATCCAGGTCATCTACAGATGTCGCGTCATCTTTGTCAGTGCTAAAATCAATAACGTCGCTGTCTACATTTATTGTTTTTTCATCTTTATCTTATTCAATAGTGTTCATTGTTTTACATCAATATAATTTTATTATTTCAATTAGAAAATTGTTTCACCTTTGATTAATTTTACAAATTTAATTTAAGAGTAAGCATTTTAAACTCTAACATTGATATTGCAATTTCCTGAAAACTTTCATTCAATTAAAAGATTTTTTTAATTTTAGTGTATTTTTCCATAAAAGTAATATATTTTTTTTTAAATTACACCAATCTTAATGATTAACTTTACTTATGTGGTTGCATACAAAAATAAATAAAGTCATAAATATAGGCCAAAAGACCTTATAAGTAAATCATTTTATACATCTATTTCTTTAAGATGAGTGTAAGGGTGAGGGCAGTTTATGTGCGTGGGTTTTTTTTACACAAGGTACAACTTGTATAATTATTTTTTTTAAAATATTAAAACACTTTATTTAACCAGGTTATATTAACAGTGTTTATCACAAATCAAATGTGAAGCAGACTTTTTTGCCATTTTACCAATCAAATCAACACCTGCCAGGGTCATCCAAACTCCCTTTCCACTGTACATCTCAGGAAAAATGCAAATCATATATCATGTGGCATATATTACATGGGCCTATCCACCCCTTAATTCAACACAATGCTGTGTTACCAGAGTTCTATTTACTGTCCATCTGAGGGATAATTGTTAATCATAGATTATGTAGCAGACACTACATGGTCCCACTGGCCACTAGATTTAACACCATACATACTTATCAAAACTCTATTGACAATATCTATCAGAGTAACCATTTCAGTCCTCACTCTGCAGGATATATGGATATATTCCAGTGTGGACAATGACCACTTAATTCACACTAGCTATTTTTATTTAGCCAAGATCAGAAAAATTTGCAGTCACCAATCATTTATTAACTATATATATATATATATATATATATATATATATATATATATATATATATATATATATATATATATATATATATATATATATATATATATGATTGTTGATGACATTATTGTTTGTACCACAGAAAGACCCACTCATTTGTTATTCTTCACCATTTAATGCAAATAATATACATTTTACATATAAATATGTTATGTACTATTAAATAATTTTTTTTAATTAAACATCACCTGAATTGTACATTATAAATATATCTAACTAAATTACAATCTCTTTATCACTATGTGTACACACATACATACACACATACACATGTACACACACATCATATGCCCGCTCCTTGTGGCTTTGTGGTTAGAGCATCTGCCTCGGATGCGGGAAGTCATGGGTTCGATGCCCGGTCGACTCATACCGTGCACCAGTCCTAGATGTCACTATAAACTGTCCCACTGCAGACATCGTAACGATATGAGTGAAAAATTGTTAAAGCTATGTCAAAAATCATCTTCACAAATACATCACATCACAAATACATTATGTAGAGTTATTAATGCTGTTGTATCATCCATAAACAAAAATTTAATCCACATCAACTTTCCTTTGTCTGATGCAGACAAAAGAAGAACAAAGGAAGGATTTTATAAGATAGCCAGATTTCCAAATGTATTAGGAGCCATTGATGTGACAATGATACCAATAATTGTACCCATGGTGGATGAACCCATTTATGTTTGCAGCAAAGGTTTCCACGCCATAAATGTACAAGCAGTGGTCAATGATGATTGAAGGTATTAAATATCATTTATAGTACACACATATAATTTAATAAAATGTAAATTTATTTAATTTGGAACTTGTAATTTCTTATGAAATAAAATAAACTATAACGATGACTCACAGTAAATAGCTGCTTCATTAACAATATTACATATTTAGTACACATACACACTCAAAGACATATATAAATATAAATAAATAGAGATAATAAATTGTACGAAAAATTGACATGCAATTTCTCTATTGTATGTGAAATGGTAATTATCATATATATATAGGATCAGTGAATGAATCATTATTTATGCTGAAAAATTCAGGTTTTCATGAGCATATGGAGAACCGTGGACATGGGTGGCTTTTTGGCAACTCAGGGGACCCTCTATGAGCATTGGAGAACCATGGAAATGGGTGGCTTGTTGGTGACGCAGAGGACTCTATGAGCATTGGAGAACCATGGAAATGGGTGGCTTGTTGGTGACGCAGAGGACTCTATGAGCATTGGAGAACCATGGAAATGGGTGGCCTTTTGGTGACTCAGGGGACCCTCTATGAGCATTGGAGAGGGATATAAATTGTGCAAATCAAGATTTAGGTATGGCTATATGTGTTCTCCAATAGTTTTAATGACTGTTTTAAAATAACTAAAATATTACACCCATCTGCAGAAAGATTGCTCAGAATTAAATTTCAATGATGATATCATAATGGAAAGTATGTAATGTTCATTTGCAAACCTTTTCTTTATTACAAATCATTTAAAATTTTAATGGGCACTGTAACACACTTACAAATATGCATCTAAATTGTGTTGAAATAAAACACTTCTTATAAAAGAAATTAGATTAAATTTGGAAATGGAATATAAGAGGGACATACTGTCCGGGTTCATAACTCCTATAATGGAATTCCAAAGTATAAAGTGAAATAAGTAATGGAAATATGCACCTACTTTTACTGAATTTCAACAAAATATTGGAAACGTTATGCAGCAGAAACCAAATAACAGTTATTATCTATATATCCTATAAATTATGTTATATAATGTTTCTATCAGTAGAATTTTATGATGTCCTAATATCTATTTTATTTGCCTAATTATTTTAAACTTATTCAAATTAAAAAGTAGAAAATTTTCTAGTACAACATTAACTAACTTTGACTGAATCATATCAACAGAAAATTGGATTTATCATTGTTTATTATAGATCTCAAGTTTTGTTTCATTTCATTTATAGGTGAATCCATACAAGAGGTAAACATCTACCATTTCAGCCCCCAAAGTGTGTAAAGGTTATAACAGCTGTATTAAAATTGCAGAATTTGGCATTGGTGAAAATTTGCCATTAGACTATGACATTGATGACAATGAAGATAATGATAATGATGTATTATTTAATGGCTTTGTCAATAAAAGTGGAAACATTATCAGACAAAAGCTATTATTACAATTTTGAAAAATATTTTTATACTGTGAAGAATCTGAAAGCAGCATTATGTATAATGGTAATGTCCTGTAATATTTGTTTGCTTCTTGTGATTTAATGTTGATAAGCATATGTCCATTTCACTAACTTAATGATTTTCCAAATAATTACTTCAATATTCTCTACATAGAAAGAATTTATTAACTTAACATGTTTAAACTTCTCATCTATTTCTATTATTATTTCATGGCATCTTCAACTTGACTGGTTATCTAGACATTGAAATAAATAAGTTAATAATGATTATAACTATAACCATAGAAAAGAAAACTTTGAAATGGATATCTTTTCCTTATGTACAGTTTGATGTAATGTATAATTATAATGGTTAATATAGTCAATAATGACAAATATATTGATGCAAAATCAACATTTTAATTGTTTTTATTGTCATTGAAAAAATATTTTTTTATGAATAAATGCTGCTAGTATAGTGACAATTTCGAACATAGAAATCTTAAAACTGATGCTTTCTTATAATTTGTTTACCCTAAAAAATGTTATGTATGGAAATCAAACAATAATTATATGAACTTAAGATCATGTTCTTCAAAGCATGCCTTTATTTTGGTTTAATTTGGTTTTTCTTAAAAGCAACAGATCATGAATATAGCTGTTCTAAAAATGGACTACAATAACAGGCAAATTGTACCTTTGTTCTACATAATGTAAATGACAACCCTACAGGCAGTTTGTTTGTTATATCTACTCACATGTATTGTCAACAAGACAAACTGAGATAATGCAAATAATACACATCTTAATATGATATATCACAATTATTATAGGTATGTTTAAAGTGATAGTAAACTTTGAGAAATACCTAACAAACACATAATTAATCTATTATGTCTGTATCTTGATTTTATCAATCAAGAACATTATGCAGTGCTTATAGTTAATGTTCTGTTTAATTTAAAAATACATGTATTTTAAATATTACAGTATATTACAGTATATCCCTTCTTTCCCTTTTCATACTGAATATTATATATATATATATATATATATATATATAAATATATATATATATATATATATATATATATATATATATATATATATATATATATATATATAGATAGATATAGATAGATAGATAGATAGATAGATAGATAGATAGATAGATAGATAGATAGATATACTAAATACATATATACACACACACATATATGATTGGTCACTAAAATAAGACCTACACGTGTATAAAGAGCCCTTTGAGTTTCTAGAGTTTCGGTTTTGGATGTTCTAGGGACTTGTAGGGGTATATATATATATATATATATATATATATATATATATATATATATATATATATATATATATATATAGATATAGATATATATATATATATATATATATATATATATATATATATATATATATATATATATATATATATATATATATATATATATATACACATGCGCAAAAAAACTCTGAGTCTCTAAAGTTTCTATTTCTGATATTTAGGGGTTCTCTGGTGGGATAAATGTCTAAACAAGAACGTTATTAGGTTAATCTGATTAACTATGGAACGTTAGATCGAGTGTCAGTTCGCGCTACATATTTTTGCTAATTTTTGTATTAAATATATATTTATTATATAATGAATACTGAAAATATAAATTCCATTGTTTCTGATATTAAAAAATTACAACATAACGGTATCGACGTATCTGACAATCTTAATGCTGAAAAGATTCAATGTGATTTTGACTCACTACAACAACTGAAAAACCAAAACAGATTTACGCTATCGTCCGATTACAAATTTATGAAGGAGATCCAAGGGGAAATGTTAAAGTCACTGGCAACAGTCACTGATAATCAGGTAAAATTGTGTGTACCTCTTTCAAACGCTATTGACAAAATCAAGTTAGAATTAGCTCATAAATACGAACAGAAAAAGATTATGAATTTTCGGATAAGACAGTTTGGGAAGATTGGGAAAATACGAGTGAAAATGAAAGTGATAATGAGGGGCCAATAACTGTTGTAATCGAAAAACAAAACCCTTGGTAAAATTAAAAATATATTTTGTCTAGTGTGTATATATATATATACTCCTCATCAAATATTTTCCAATCACTGAGATACAAGGAAAGATGCGAGCATAATTTACTATAGTCGGCTGTTGCTGTATGTAATTTCATCATGTACTCGCGTATATATTTTCTTAGCGATAATATTGAGAATACCTGCATATGTTGTTGTCGTAGAAACAATAATCGTTAAAACATTAGGAGCTGTCATGGATAGCGTTGATAATAATAATCCAGTTCCAGCAACAACAGCAGAAACAGAGTAAACGACTGTATCAATAACAACCATGCGTCTGCGATATATTTTTACTTTCAATGTGTATTCGTCAATGATATTTTTTAGTTCAGTCTGACACTTACACGCCTGATTATATCTGTGACGTTGAAAGTCAATGAGTGATTATGTCATTTGATTCATTATACCTAATGGCGTTGTCATTTAATTAAATAATTAAAATGGGAGCTTTAGTTACAAATTCTAGACACCACCAAACATTAGCCGATGCCAAATTTCTATCCGATGATTCCAACGTGAACGTTTCTTCAGAATCTTTTTCTAACATTACAGATACAGTTTTAGACACTTTGTTAGATAATGGATATGTGGTAAGTATGTTAAATTCTACAACGCTAAACACAGACAACCTATATATACCAGCGACCTCCGCGGTGTGTTTGATGGTTTTATTTCGTAGTGTTCATGTAGATGAGCCTGATCCGACGACGTACACTGTGTTGATGATCTGTGTGTGATGAATTTTAATAATATTCGTTTTTCAATGATATCAGGAACTCCACTAATAATATCGTTTAGTTTCGAGTTTTATTTCAACGGTTGGTGGACTTCCAAAAAATTCATTAATGAATCTGTTTATGTTTCTACGAAAACTTAGAAACGTTTGGACGTGATTGGTAAAATCAGTTCTTATTGTGGTCATTTCATTGTTGATCGTTGTTATTGCTGTCACTTGATCGTTATTGCTATCGTCGACGTATTTGTTTTTTGTTCTTGTTGCGTCGTTATCTGCGCTTGGGTTTCCAAAATAGGTAATTTTTTCCCTGATTTTATGATATCACCAGATAATACGTCGCCGGTTTTCTTAA